CCCTCACCCCGGACCTAAAGAATCTGACTCATCTCGTACGCACATTCACGTTTGGGAGGGTCTGCTCTCCACCCCAAAGCGACTCCCCCCAGGCCTCCACTGCCTCCTCCTCAGCTCCATCGACCTTCACGCCCCGTTCACCCCACAGCGGCACCGCCTCAGCACCTCCTGCCCAGGGCAGCACACACAAATCACAGCTCTCTCCACCTCTGGGACCTCTGGCTTCACCTGTGGACAAATGTCACACCATGGTCCTTCTGTCAAACTTACTGGGGGACAACCAGCAAACAATGACTGACGAGTACTTCCTGATTATCATGCGCCACCAGACGTGCTTGTCGTTATGGAACCGTCACTCGTGATGTGCACATACCTGTCACTCCAAGTGTGGAGATGAGGAAAGAGAGCTATTAGGAGGTTCGACGGGGGTTACAGAGTTAGTGGGGAGCAGGCTGGGTCTGGAGACGACCCCACGCTTAAAACCCACACCAAGAGATAACAGTGAGCACCAGAGCCTTGCAGAGAAAATTCTGCGTGAGGAGGCTAGGGGCTGAGGAAGTACCCCCGCATTTTATATGGGGAACGGTCACTTGGCTGGGACCTAGAAATGAGGAGAAAAAATAGTCAAGAACAAACAGAAGGCAGACAGAGGCCAGATCACGAAACCCTTTAGTGACAGACTAAAGAGCTTAGAATCATGGGGGGACAGGAAGGTAACGAAGTTTTGGGAGCGGCTAGTTAAAAGTGACAACCTCCTTCCCTGACATCCATCCATCCCCTCACCCCAAGAACCCGATTCTTCACTATTTGAGACTTGCTTCTCTGACCTTCCCAGTGCGTCAATCACAGCCAGTCTCCCCCAGGTACACTTGGCTCCACCTCCTGCCCTCTGTGACCCCCTCCTTGCTCTCACAGGCCGAAGCCCAGCTCCTGGGGAGCCCCAACCCCAGTAAAGCCTTATTAAGAGTCATAAAACGGGCTTCGCGTGCCCCTCTACAAGGTCCAGCTGCCAGGAACCCTCTCGCTCTTCTCCTAGGACAGGTAGCACCTTCCCCCAAAGGCCTCAGGCTCGGGCTGCCTCTCCAACCTGGTCTTCCCACACCACTTCACCTGTTTCTACGCCTGTCTCCGAGAGGAAGGCCAAGAGTCACCTTCCCCTGCAGCCAAGCCACCTTCCGAGGCGGCCCAGCTGGGCCCTGGGTCGGGGCGGGGGGCTGGGGGAAGCAGAATAAGAGACATCTGTCCTAGAGAAGCTGGCAAGAGTGACCCCAACCCTGTGTGCGTACCTCTTGATGGGGGAAACATTCTCATGAGGCCCCAACACACATTCATGCACTTGGACCTATTTGAAAATTCTTAAGAAACTGAAGCTTTTCTCAGTCTTTGAAAATCTTTCAGTAGCAAATAATCACTGCAACAACAAATCTGCCTTTATGATGGAGAGTTTTATGATGAACTTTGCATAAGACAGAAAACATTACAATTATAACACAAAAATGTTAAACTCCTGCGTTATAGAATGAAAATATGTTGGTAGAACTTTATTTATGAAACAGAGATCTAGAGTCCGACTCCTCAACATGTGGTCTGCGGACGAGTCTCAACAGCACCTGTGAGCTTGTCAGACTCCTAGAATCAGAATCTGCATTTTACCACTAAAGCTAGGGAGGCCCTAGCTGGGAGGATATGGTTGCGGGGTCTGGGGTAGAGATGGGGGAAAGCAAGACCAGATGGAGCCAGGTTACATGGAACCCATGGAGAATGAAGTGATCTTAAGTATTTTTGTAGGGGACACTTTCTGGTAGCAAAGCGAAAGAGGGAAAGGTATGAGGAGCCTGTTGGGGACAGTAAGCAAAAGCAGAGGCGAATGGCAGAAGCCTCGGAACAAATCCGGTTTTATCGGGGGTGGAACAGAGGGCAGGCTGGAGGAGGGATTTCTCAGGTGTGATGGGCAGATCTGTCCAGTGCAGGTGTAGGGGTGAGTGAAGAGTGACCCCAGGGTTTCTAAGATGAAGACTGTGGAGGCTTATGGGGGACAAGGCTGGAGACACAGACCTGTGTCTATTTTTAAGAAAGAAGATGCTGAGCTCTATGTTGAATGAGCAGAGGAAAGATCCAAGGATACTCAGGGGGCGGTGTTCAGACGTAATATACATGGGACCTGAACTGACCGGGGATGACAAGGCTGCAGACACAGAGCTGTGAGCCCCTGGCGATGGGATCAGGTGAGTTCCCCTAGGAAAGGCTGCCGGACGATAAGAGCAGAGGATGAAGGGAATAGACAGCAGAGGATGAGCCGAGGCGGGCAGGGAGGCAGGAGAGGAGCTGCACCATAGAGGCCCTGGAACGAGGGAGGGGCAACCAGCTGGGTGCACAGACCGAACTGGCTACTGGTCTTGACAGGTGCGTGGTCCCTGGCCATCACAGTAAGGGTAGTGTTGGTTAAGGGCAGGTGGGGAAGCCTGGGGACGGCACGCTGGAGGATGCATGGGTAGATAAAGCCAAGACTGTTTTACAAATGCCTAAATATCTGACCTGAGGTTGCAAGTCCCCTTTAATCAATATTATATCTTCCCATACACCCATGCTGACAGCTGCATTATTTGCAATAGTCCAAAGGTGGAAGCCACCCTAGTGTCCACGGATGCATAAATGAATACGCAAAATGTGGTATGTGCATTCAATGGACTATTATTCAGCCTTAAAAAGGAAGGAAATTCTGACACATACCAGGGCATGGATGAACCTGGAAGAAATCATGCTAAGCGAAACAACAGCTGCAGCGAGACAAATCCTGTACGATACCAGGGCACGGATGAACCTGGAAGAAACCATGCTAAGTGAAACAACAGCTGCAGCGAGACAAATCCTGTACGATTCGACTTACATTTGGTACCTATGGGAGTCAAATTCACAGACGGAAGACAGAAGGGTGGTGGCCAGGGGCTGGGGAAAGAGGCAAATGGGAAGTTAGTGTTTAATGGGTACGCGGTTTGTTTTGTAAGAGTTCTGTGGCTGCATGACGGTGACGGTAGCACAACAACGTGACATGACAGTACTTAACATCATTGAACTGTATACTTAAAAATGATAGTAAATTTTACATGATGTGTCTTTGACCACAATTTAAAAAAATTATGTCTTTCCTTCATTATAGATACAGAAAATCTGAATGCCTGGAATTGAACAGAATATCTGTGTCACGAGAGGTGAGCACAAATCTTCTTCAGTGACCGTAGACTCCTGCTCAGCAGGATTGGCAGGGAAAGGGAAGGGAGTAATTAGGCGGAGATCTAAAAGTGAGGCCAGGCTGCGAGAAGCCTTTTTCCCCCAGGGGATGGGAAGACAGTCTTCAACCGTAAGTAGAGAGGTAAGTGTGAGCCAGAAGACACTCATTTAATCAGAATGGAGGTAAAGAAGAAAGGACAGGAGCCAGAAAATGAAGGAGGGGTCAAGAGGAGGAGACTCCCAGCAAACGGCCTTGAGCATCTCAGGGTCACAAATAGTGGGTCGCCTGGAGAGGCAAGGACAACAAGAGATCTGGAAAG